TTCTATAATGACATACTAAATAACCTTCTTTTTAAATTCATAGTATATAAGTAGCTTATTTGTAACCTTATTTTTAAACTTATTAATTTAGGATCATTATCGTCATTCAGACTATATTCCATCAAATATCCTTTTCAAGGGCCGATGGCACAAAACCACATTTTTCTCTACTGCAAAATTAAATAGCAAATCTTTATCCATAATTATATTTTCTTGGTTAAATCTGCTAATAAATCTTGAAACACTAAACCTTTAATGACCTCTCATCGCAACTGTATGAGATTGAAAATACCAGACTACATTTCTACGTAAGGCACGCATTGCTTAAATTACTTGTTTAAAATAGTTTAGAGTTGTAAATAAAGGGTCCAGTGTTTTGGGGGGAAAAAAACCCCAAACATCCCAAACACAAAACAAACAAACAAAAAGGCATGTTCAAAGTTTTGCAGGTAATTTTTTAACTCTCCTGAAAATAGTGGTGTGAATTTAGGCACTCTTAGCTTTGTTTTCTTGTTGTTGTTCCTCTGTGTTTTCCAGCATATCTTTCCCCTTTCCAAGCCATTTAATTTCCATGAAAATATAGCAACAGGAGTGTCGACATTTCCAATTCAAAGTTTCTCCAAGTTTTTCATTCCATCAAGATCTTTATGTTCTGATTTTCTGTTCTTGGTCAGAAGAAAAAAAGCTAATTCTGGAATGTGGAGCTCTCTCATGGGATGAGCTTTCCCTTTTCCCAGCCAGAACGCCCCACGGGCAGCCCCTGCCCACCCACGCCACGCACAGGCATGCACACTGGCTGCGGAAGAACCCAGAACAGTTTCCACAGCATCCTTCCAGCAGCCGAGACGCATCCATTTCTGGTGAAGGGCTCCAAATCACAAGATTCATGAGTTAAAAATAAAATCAGACCACTGACAGACCTTCTCGGGGCATCGCATTAAGAACTGCTGCAGCCTTCTGCAGAGCCCAGCAGATGCTGTGGCTGCTCCTCCACCCCAAAGGGTAAGCAATTGCTTTCCTTTGAAGCATGAATTTAGAGTTTAACTGAATCTAGGAACTGAGACATAGCACAGCAATAAGTAAAGAGCAATAAATTAATGCCATTAACAATACAGTGGATAGAGCATTTTGCGCAGCAGAAAGGAAAACACCCGATGGCAAAACTGAGCTCCAGCGTGCCAGAGGGAACGCAAGACTTAGTACTCCAAACTATGTTCATCCCTTTTGTTTTTTGAAATGCATATGACTATTTCTTTCTGCTGTAACTTTGACAAGAAATTAAAAGTCCAAAAACTTGAAAATGTGGTGGTTAGTATTCTAAATAAACTCAAATAGCTTTACTAGTCTGCCAGTCCTGGCAACCATTATTCTCAGAGGCCTGCCCAGCTGAATTGCTACGTTCGATGTGTCCCTTTCTCCAGCCTCACAAGACACCAAAAGGAGGGGGCACAGACATCTGTGCACAGCTGGCCACCTGAGGCTCCCTTTGGAGTCTACAGGAAGAAACAAGAACTTCCGCAATGCTATTCGTCTCTTCCTAATGTAGACACCAAAACCACATTATATGAACCGAATCTCCAGAAGGTTATATATATGTTATTTAATAACTAATGTAACTACCATTTTTGCTTAAAATAGTACTCTCATTTTACAGTTTTCCTTTTCTACATTTAGCTATCAGTCCCCAAATAAAGAGCTTTCTGCTTTACCTCTGAATTATTTTATTGATGAGAGTTTTCTTAAATACTTTCAATGTACTATTAATAAAACATAACAACTGTCTAATGATTATAAATAAACAAGTGTGAGGTATTCAAAACCTCTCAGTAAGTAATAGTTTACAACTCACAATACCTGTGATTCAATACTGTTATCAGGAACAACAAGCTGTAATTCTTATAGTCCCATGCTAGCCTGAGGCAATTTTAAAAGAAAAGCCTACAAAAACTTCATTTTTGTGAGCTGCTGAAGACACTTTTTCTGAGAAAAGATGAAAGAATGGTGGTTAGCCTTTTTTTGTTGATGTTCATTTGTTTCTTAAAGGTATATGAATTCAGATTTACTGCAAGCCTCGCGCTAAGTAGCTGTGCATATGTTGTAGGGTTTGTTTTAAGCTGTTGCAACACAGAACTATCTCAGATCAAAAAAAAAAAAAAAAAGTATTTATAGCCTTTATGATCATGAAGGAAGAACAGAATGTCTAGCAGTAGGGCCAATAAAAATAAGTTTGGAGGAGGAGGTGAGGATGAATTAAGTATCCAGACCCGCACCTTTAGTGCCTCAGTCCAGGCAATGGAGAGGGGCTGGCTCAGAACTGTTAGACTGCAATATCACAAACTGCTAATTCCAGCTTCCTCGCTCCCTTATGGTGGTTTCTTCCAGATATTCTGTCTAGTAAGTGTGAAAGAAACATCAAAAGATAAAGAACAACAACCCTCACGTCTCTGCCCCAGCACGCAACTTCCCAGATAGTTTCTTCCAGCACCAATTCTAGCATCAATCTGGAAAGCAATGAGCCATTTCCCAAAGAACGGAATTATAAGTAGTTTCACTCAGTCTACAGTTCTGCTGCACTAAAAGCCCTTTGAAAACCTAGCTTAAGAACCTCTGGTTTAAAACAGTTTTAAAAAGTAAAGACTCTAAAAAGGTCCTTGGAGATGCCCTGAAGGTCACTCCAGCTCCCCTTTGCAAAGGGAACCAGATGAAGGGGCATTACCCAGGACCCTGGCCGGGACGCCTGCTGTGGTATTCAGAGAGGAATCCTGATTGAAAATAAGGGTGGACCACCGCTCTCTGATCCTTCTGCTCCCTCTCTACTTTCTGAGATGTTTGTTTTCTTTAGACTCTTCCCTCCTACAATGCCTTGGCTCAGGGGAGAACTAGAACAACCACACCTTAAGCCTCACTTTTTTTTTTTTATTCTCAAAATTATTTTGCTTTCTGCAGGAACTGTAGATGAGATATATATTCATATATGTTTAAAGCTAACAATCCCCACTGAGTCTCACAAGCTTTTACAAGATGCTAGGAAAGTATCACATAGCAAAGCAATGATGTGAAGTCAAAAGGTGAACACTGTCCTCTGAGACCACAGATATGTATTCTGGGTTACGAGAGTGAAAAAATGTAGTTCAAATTTAAGTCATCTCTTTCCACTGCTTTCTGTTGTGTTCCTACTGGGACCCCAAATAACTAGGCCTAGATTCCCGACATACCTAAACCAGTAGTATTACTACATGATGAAGCAGTTATCTAACATACAAGTGATCATACTGCATTGCAAGAGCATCAGTCATATGCTAGTCCTCATACAGACAATTTTCTAAAAGCTTCCCTTCTTTGTTTTTAAAAACAAAAATAAGTCACATTTACTTAAATTTATCCTTTGGGGAAAAATCCATCCAGAAAGAAACTGTACCTAACAAGCAACCAGGGACTTCATGTACAGGTCTGCATGATTTCACAGTGGCTTTGAGGAATGTCTGTAACTGGATTAAACTTTAATTAATATAATGAAATAAGAATGCGATTTGCCAAATATGTAAAAATGAAGCTTACAGCTCTGAATAGAGCCAGTATATAAGAAATTGATATTGATTTCCTCTGAACTAGGTTATATTCTTGTGATCGATTATGTGGGGAAAAAAAATTATTTCCATATTTTTCAATTTTACAATACTTACAAAGCCATTCCCATCTTCATCGAGGAATGGGTACGCCTGCAACAGAGCATTGACAACAATGTTGTATTGCTGACTGTTCGGATACCTGTGCAAACAAGATGGAGATGTAAAAGAAATAGTTCGTATACTAGACAGTATACAGTGTTCAACGCTGTCTAGAGTCTATACTGACATACATTAAACTGACTGTTTCTAAGGCTATCGAGTCCCCTCCAAATGGAACAGCTTTAAGGCTTGCATGAAATCTTCCTGTTTGACTTCAACAGGTTTCAGGCCCTTAGCCTCCTCTATTTAAGCAAGCGTATTAAAGAGAATGGCTTTACATTCATTTGAAAGTTTACTTCTGCAGCCAACAGGTAATGTCCCCAAACAAATCTAACAATGTTTACTCACAGTGATCCTTCTAGGTATTTTGTCATGTCTGCTTGCAAAAATTCAATAATCCTTATCCTCATACTGTGATCAGGGCATCTTTTTTCTGCTAATATGCATTTGACATCATAAGGGAAGTCTGGCAAAGCATAAGAACTTGTCCACTGCAATGTCTTGTATCTTGCAAAAAATGATTTCAGATTTTTTCTGTAAAAGAAAAGATTATGTCATCATGATCACGTTCTTCTTCAGTGGGAATGCAGGCCAGGAGGAAAGAAAAATAGAAGCAAAACTCAACACAAAGAAAAGTTATTTCTATAGAGATTCAAGGCTTGCTCTCTTGGTTTCTACATAAAGAACACTCACAAATGCTGCAGTCAAAACATATGGGGTTAAAACCAGATGTCAAATGTGAAATATTTTAATCAGCAGGCACTAGAAGGTGGACACTAACTGAAAGCAGAAGACAGAGCAGAAGAAGTGACCGGGGACTTGCTATTGTGGCAAAATAACTTTATCTGTCATCATTTATTATTTGTTTCCTACCAGTTCTGCTAACTTACTAGTGAGAGTAAGCCAAACAGCTTAATTGAATAAAATATTATACACAACATTAGCTAAGACTGTCCTCCCAAAGGGGAAAGCAGCGAAGGGATGAAGGCAGTTATCACCAGCATGACGGCTGGAGACAAAGCAGACACAGCCCTAAGTGCCCGCAGCTTCTCTCCCAAGAGGACCATCAGCACCACGCACAAAGGGCACACCCCAGCCGGAGACAGGATATCACCACTGGCCACCCAAGGCCTTCCCACCACCAGAGAGCCTACCAAACCCTAATTTTGAAGGAAAACAGGGAAAAGTAGACATAAATTGAGCTGGAAGTCAATCAAGAGCCGCCTAAAAGATGGCAGTGGTTCTGGCAGCCCTATACAGCTTCCCAGTCATAGTTGTCCAGACTCAATAAAGACATTTCAAATGAGAGATGCCAAAGATAACTAGAGTCCTGTTATGCAGGTGGTATCACTGCAATTTATGCTTTCTTTAATTTAAATTGCAGAAAGAAATTTGGAAAAAACTAGCAGACTTTTGAAAGAATTTTTAAGATAAAATGCTGTCATTATAGATGACAAATGGAGATGCTTACATTGTATAAATATACAGATACCTATATCTGAATTAATCATCTGCATTCCCTTTATATTCACTGAGGAGAGATCAACACCACTGAAGGATGACAGAACAACGAGAAGACATCTAAATCAAACCAGATGTTCTCTCTCATGTATTTCTCTCCACTAAATATGAAGGAAATTAAGACAGTTACCACAGTTGTTGAAATCTACACTGTATATATCCCAAGTTAGGAACCTGCCATTTGGTAGGTGAAAGCTCCCACACAAAGGCATGTGGCTGGACCAGGCACTGGAGACGCTCTGGAGTCCCTTCCAAGCTGCTCTGGATATTAAGTCTATGAAAGTTATGGAGGAAAATACTACTAGACTTCAGTTAACATACAAGATTTCACTCCTAAAGGTCTCTGTGGTAGCCTACAAACAACAAATATGTATATAAATAAGAGTTGTGAAGAGTTTTAGCAAAACCTCTCAATGAAGACCTTGCTATCCAGCCTCTTTCAGATAAGGAAGTAAAAAAAAAAACCAAACCCAAACCAACAACAACAAAAAAACCCAACCCAAAACCAAAACAATCAAAAAACCAACCCACCCATGGTAGCCAGTATCTTTAGGCTGGCAAAATCAGCTGCAAGACCAATGGAGGAACATTTACAATAGCTTAGTTTACAGCACTTTGAAAGATTACTATGTATCTGTGAGTCAGATTATTTTGGGCCCCTGTAGCCATAGTTATAGCCTGAATACCTTCTTGAATAGATTAGCCTATAACTTTCATAACCTTGTTGACCTGTTTATGCTGCCACACCATCTTGGTATCTTTTAAAATAGGTTGGTAGCTTTCAGGCTGGCAAAAGCTTTACAGCCATGACATAGGTCCACCAACCCCAGCACTACCACAAACTGCAATGCAGTACTGAAAAAAAAAAAAAATAAAAAAATTTGGGAACTGTCATCTGATCCTCATAGTTATATTAATAGTAGTAGCAGTACTCACAGCACTACTGTTTCCCCATGCAAAACACGTACAAAATGGGCAGGGCTGCTGTCTCTCCAAGCTCACCAGATTTTATGGGACACAGATGGTTAACAGTAGATGCAAACTTTAGTGAACTTCTATTAGTACTTTGCAGTCTCAAAAGAAGGAAAATCTGCGCAAGAAGTGACAAACAATCCACACAGACACATTCTTGTCCTTTTTTGGTGATAAATTAATACACAAATGGGAAAATAAAACCCAGATTCTGAAATCACTTAGAAATGCCTCCTATGCAAATAAAGTGCAGATGTTCATCAATGAGGAGCTCTGCAGCCTATTAAGTTTGAATCCTGTACTTTCACCAACTTTACTGATGAAAGTGATGTATCAGGCTGCAAGTTTGTATATATTATTTTCAACACGCTGTCATTTAAACTAGCTCAAAAATGTACAGTAATTTGTGGCTGAGCAGCACTGATATTCCTGTTGTTGCTAATACCAGTGAAGTTGAATTGCCATTTCGAAAAGTGGTGGGGCTTAGCAGGCTCAGTTCAGGCACTCATTTCCTTGAGGAAAATAAAATTTTCTTGGAGTTGGGATGGCTAATAGCCAGGGAGGCATGATAACTCTCCCCTCCACCAGTCCCTTCACGTTTGCCAGTACAACAAAAATACTACAAATTCCATTTCTCTTCGGCCTTACCCAACACAGAAAATACTTCCTTGCTGTCCAAACAAGATCCAAAAATTCCTTTAGTCTCCACAGTGCAAGAGATTAAATATTTTACTAGCTTTTGCTGAAATCATTGCTGTTGGGCAGTCATGTTAAATACGTGCAGTTATATATTACAATTAAATACAAGTTTGTTTGAAAAGACACACAACTCCACACTAAACTTTATCCCCAGAAATGCTCGCACGCAAACTCGTTGAACTAACAGAACAGTTCAGTTAAACTGTATGTGCACTGTGATTTATGCACATAGCCACGAACTTCCTCGATTGCGGAGAACAGCATTACAGCTAGAGATTTAGGTACAAACAAATAGAGCCTGTTTCTAATCATCGCTCTCTGGTCTTCTAGCTGACCTGAGACAGCGGTAAGATCAAGATCCCAAAACACAGATTACTACATCTTTTCTTTCACAGCATGTTTACTGAGACATGAAATTATAAAGTAACATCATTTTCAGAGGAGCCATTTGTCTCCTTCGGCTGGCAAAAAAAACCTGAAAAAACCAAAATGAAACAAACAAACAAACCCAATAAAAACCCCCCACTTATTTGAATTGTATAACCTCTGGGATCCCTAATCCCAAGGAATATCTTGTTTTACTGTCAAAAAGACAAAGATTTTACATACTTGCAGTATCACCCAGAACATTCTATGAAGGTTTTAGACCGCAGTGGAGTGAAGTGGTGGGTGAACACAGCATTGTGGTCTCCAAGCTCAGTGTCTGTGCAACCTCATGTAGAAAGACAGGGCAGACTGAATTCGCTGTGACAAGTCAGTAAAAATAATCTTGTCATTGATGTAGACAGCTCAATCAAGATAGCTGTGCAAAGTACAGTAGATATCTAGAAACAGATTCAAATACAAGATTGATTTTGTCAGTTTTAAGGCTCTGAGCATACTGGTAAGAAGGATCAGATTCCTGTATCTAGATCATTTAGGGAAAAAAGTGACTTAAAGGCCAACTGAGCACACATATAGACAGGCTGTGTGCCACATGCTTTTCTTATTGTCTACTTTACTGAAGTCCATGAGTCTGTGGTACCCATTGCTACATCTTGTATCAGCTCAGGTCCCAGTAACCCAGAGGCAGTTGAGTTGAGCAGAACCTTGCTCACATCAATGGGTTTCCAAGTTCAGCACGTCCAGATAGAACTCAACACATGGGTGGAGCCTCAACAGATTCCTGTTTTTCACAGGTGAAGGTCAAGCCTTTCACATGTCTACACCAAACATCAGCAAGAGACTCCTGTTCGAAGATTTGTAGGCTGGCAAAAAAGTCCACATCTGCAAAGCCAAGGAAGAAACAGAAGGGAAAAGAATACCTAGAACTTGCAGATGTGAAGGAAGGAAAAGTCTGCAGCTGTAGAAAACGTTCCTTTTCCCTAACACATGTATAATATGCTTTCAACTGTATGACAATATTTAAGGTTGTAAAGATTGTTTCCATCAAAAGGAAGAAATGATGACAGATTATTAAATATCAGAAGAAACTCTTCTTCCCCTCTCAATAGTAGGATAAAATAGGGCTCTCTTTTCTATTCACAGTTCCAAGATCTGTGCCTGAAGATTTTCATGCCTTTCTCTTCACGTGCTTTGCTGCCGTTCCCTACTTTCCAGCACAAACACCGTTTCCCAGTTATTCCCTAGAACCTGGGATTTGCAGTCTACCTAGGGCTTGATGATGTCTTTTACTTTCTCAGTTCCCACTAAACGTAGGGGCAGGGATGCTTTAGACTGAACGAGAAGTTGCCCACAGCAGCATCGGCTCCAGCAAGGCCAGGGCGCGGGAGCTGACAGACACGCCGTAGCTGCCCGTTTCCCAGAGCAGCTCCCATTTCGGCTTTTCCTACAGAAATCATCGCATTCAGTATGAGCACAAAGATACAGACAAAATTAATCAGCTTTAAAAAAAAGTTTGCGAGATGCAGACACAACCTTTTTCTAGAGGGAGTCACGATGTTTTGACAGTTTCCATTATGAGGAGCTGCATCACTTAAGCGAAGGCTCTGCACTTCCATCTCATAGAAGGGCAGCAGCTGTAGGTTACAGACGGGGGGAGAGACAAATGTTCCTCGGGGAATCTGACTGACAGAACTGCCAGTTAAATCAGGCCATTTTAAAGAAATAGAGTTTATTTGCATTGACCCGTGTAAGATGTGTTATACTGTATCCAAAGAAATTTATGTATTTGGGGTTTTTTTGTTGTTGTTGTTGGGTTTTATGACTTTGCTAGACCTTAAAAAGGCAATGCAGTTAGTATCTCCTGCAAGTTATATGTAAGACGTGGCTTATTTCTGGTGTGGAAGAAAGGAGATTTAACACACCCCACACCCCCTCCACCAACTTTTGTGGAAGACTCA